CCCCAAAACCCCAAAACCCCTTGAAGTAGAATTTGTGGAAAAGTAAAGATTCATTAGAATTAATTTTGTGAAAATTACTATTATTTATACTTGTGAAATTTCAGTATTGTAGTTGAGCATAAATTGATATTAGCTATGCTTTTATTACATTTTAATATGGATCACAGTACATAGCCTTAAAAATCTAGATCTAAATGCAAAAAATTCTTCAAGCCTATAGATATCTATGGAAAGCCTATTTCATTGACGTACGGTGGAAGAGAATAATTTAAAACGACATTTGGGGGCTCAGTTTCATTTCTTGTTGTTCTGCTATTTTTGAGCGTCACATTTTACAAGCTAAACGACATGGTTAATAAAAACTTAACAGTTGTAAAGAAAAATACTCTTGTAAGTATCTCTAATTCCTACACTCCTCCAGAGGATTTATCGAAGAAGCATATAACATTTGCATTTATGCTGTCAAATATCAGAGCTAGTGAGGTATTTGATGACAAAAGGCATGGCTAGTTTCATTTGACATAGGTAGAGGTAGAAATCAAGCAAAACTTAGAGGATGGTACATTTTATAGAGAGTTTATAAATTCTGATGTCCCCATCTCGAACTGTGAAATAGGAAGAAATTTCTTTTATCCAAATATAGAAGAAGTTACTTAATACAACACACAAAATTATTTTTGCCCTGATTGGTAAAATCTCACAATTTAAGGAAGCTGGTATTCTCCAGTATTTAAATATGTTCAGCTTACTTACTAGAGATGCGATAATTAAAACTGTTCAGATGAGGAAGAGTTCCAGTAATGGTTCTAAGGGAAATGGATTTAATAGATCATTATAAGTTCATATTTTAACATTGGTGATTATGATGAACCTGTTAAGTACTTTCTAGATGACAGCTATCAGGCGGTTGAGTATGGCAGAACTACTTATAACAATGTATTCTTCAAGAAAAATGAACTCAAACTTAGCGATAATTTAATTGGATTTTTCAATGACCTTATTTAATAATACTTCTATTAGATGTCTGTGAACAAGGTTTTCTATTCATCAGATACAGGAGGAGTAGCCAAAGGCATATATTATAGATAAGATGTAAAACTAGACAAGGAATATGATGTTTACGAAAGGCAAGTTTATTCAATCAGTTCACTTTTACAATATGTAGGAGGCATTTACAACTCCTTATTCTTTATTGGGCTATTTATTCTTTCAAGATTTAGAAGCTCATTATACTTTGCATCACTGATCAGTAAGCTATATCAAATTGAACACTTAAAGAAAAATAATTTAAATGGGATACAGAAAGAAAAAATGATCCTCGATTTAGAAAATTCATCAGCAAAAATAATGGATATCTCCTAAGAGTTTGCAAGGTTGAATTCTTAAACTTCTAGGAAATATGCTGAGAATTTATAAAAAGAAATAGAGTCCAATAATTGGAATGTCACTGCAATTATTGCTAAAAAGCTTATAAATTATCTTGGAAATAGATGGAGATTAAGCATTACCACTAAGGATGTATTAAGTTTTTCGTTCTAAAAGTTTCATCTTTGCTGTAGATAAAAGCATTTGAATTCAGATTCAATCATGCAAATCAGGAAAATCATTTTATTCAATAAGGGTCAAAAGAAAGTTAAATAAGAGCTAGATGCTATAAATATTATTAATAGACTTAGGAAACTAGATTTATTGCTTTCCTTATTCTTATCAAAAGATCAATCATTTTTACTCTAATTCTAGAAGAAAAACTTGATTTAAGAAAATGATTCATCATCAGAAGATGACAGAAAAAATCCTTCGAGAATCCTTAGAAAATTTTCTAGCTAATATTTCAGGAGGAATCAAGATAGGAATACGCTAAAATAGTTGGAGGAAGCAGTGTATCAATATTCACAGAATGAAAAATTAGAAATGATAGATAAAAAGATCCTCAATGGGTTATTAACCAAGAAGAAAATAAGTGAATCCTAAAGTTTATCCACCATTAAAAAAATCTAGTTAAAAGAAAGTATGAATGAATCATCAGATTTTGGTATCAATAAGATTGAATATGGGAAATCCTCCCCAGAAAAGTAAAAAGAGCAGAAAGCTGCAATAACTAGAGACAACAACAACAATGAAAATATTCTTGGCAGTTTGGAGTAAAAAAATCAGGGACTCTAAATATAATTTCAACCTCTTAAAACAAAAAAGAATAGGAAGACTTTGATTTAAAATAAAAAGATTTTCAAGCAAAGTTGCACTGATGTTGCTAAAAATGAAAAGGGCAAGTAGGGAACCTAAAATAACTTAAAATTGGATGATATTTTAACTGGAAATGACTGATTTAATTATGGTCAAATTAAAAAAATACAAAATATATTGCCATTGAATAAAATTACAAAAAAATTATTCAATTAAGATATTCATTCAATGGGGTTTTGGGGTTTTGGGGTTTTGGGG